AATTGAATCAATACTTAGAGTTATCTTTAAGTTACGCCTTTATTTTTAAACTCTCATATCATGCCAATAAATTGTGACGAATCTTGTGATTTACACCCCTGCAGAACAGACTGGGCTGAGCCAGACAGCAGCCTGCTGCACAACACAAGAGCTACAGACTTTGGACAACAACCCACATTAGCTTTCATGCTAAAGTCTCCTTCCTATCTCACTCACAAACCAGAACACACGTGTTGTCCTTCACCGTAGCTTGTTGAACGCGCCACCAGACAAACATTTAACAGGGAAAAGTGCATTGTTAACATCAGTTTGCACAGTGGACAGCTTGGTTCCACTTAAATGCTGCCGTCATCCTTCAGTATTGCTAACAACACATTGTCTGCCCATGATATGTAGGCTACAGTTTGTTTACTTCATCTCTTTTCCCTAAGGTGTAAAACCACTCTGGCAGCCAGGCTGTTTTGAAAGTTAACTAACAGCATCACATTCATATTAGACTGTATTTATCCTAATGTTCCTATTTAAATATTTGCTTTTGTGATCATGAAATAATAATACATTAGTCTGGGTGGTCTTCTGTAGGTACTTTATTTCTTCCTTTACTAGATCTGATGCTGATAGGGTTTCTGATTCAGTGTTTAATGGCCACATCATTTTATGGTGTATTCTATACCCTATGCCCTTAACCAACATAAATAACACTCTCTTGCATGTGAAAGGAATATGCCAGCTCAAATTTTATAGCAATGTTATTTTAGCTAAAGCTCCTTGCTGTAACTCAGGAGGTATTCTATTAGTCAAGAAGGTAATGCTGTCTACCAATATGCAAAGCCCTCCAGCCAATCAACCTCCTGGTGATAAGGTAACAGTGAGTGCTGGAGGATCCGGTGAAATTGTATTTCCCAACAGTCCAGCATGTGTAACCCTTCCATGCAGCATTTGCTAATAGACAAATGTGTGGATTCTGTATTATATGTTGTCCAAGTGTGTGCTTTCTCAAACTAAGTGTACCCTCTGGTCAGTCAGTACTTTGCTACTTCAGCTCAGGATGACACTTATGGAAGCAACAGATGTACATGAATCAACGTCCTTAGCAGCTCTGCAGCCACTGCCAAACTGAGCAGCGAGATAATGAGAAAAACGGAATCCCTGTCATTTTCTTGTCATGGCCAGAAGAGTAATATGTAATTTATGTTAATGTGCATAAACCCCAAAGGGCACAATATTAATTGACCTAACCCTTGAGACGCTGTTTTCCACCTGGAGGTTTGAGCCCACCAGGGGATAATTAAATTATTTTTAGGATTTATTGACTATGGAAAAAATGATTCAAATACATACACAGATTTTATGCGTCTTGTCTTTTTTTCTCATATGAAGTCATGAGTATGAGCAGTTTCTGTCTTTCAAATTGGGAACTTGTACAATACCACTTGTAGCATAATGCATCTGCATAAGTAAATTTTCCATAAGTTTTTCACTGTAATAATAGTACAGTGTCATTTTTGTCAGCCCTTTCCTTTTTTCCTTCACTTTGCTCCACTCTGTCCTCAAACTGTCTTTGAATCTTTTTTAAAGGTGGTGACACTTAAATCTCTTTGGTGAACGTGGTATGACACTATAATCTCCCCGTGCACTCACACTCATTGACAAGGTTAGTGAAGAGCTGGCCTAGTTATTACAGAGACTGTTCTGTAAGTCAAAGCATAAAGGTTCACCCCCTGCAGCAACCAGCATGTTTCATGTTTAGACAAGAAACCAAACCTGACTTTATTTACTGTGTGGTAAAGTACTGTAAATGCAACATGTCAGAGCAGGAAAAGGTCAGCCATCTTTAGTAAGTGGAGTACTAACATTCATGCGACACATTTATTGAGGAGCTCCTAAATCAAGGTCATCTACTCGGCTGCAGATTTTTTAAGCAGCAGATATAAAAATATCTAGGCCACTGAATCTTGACTGAGATCAGACCATGAACAAAACCAGGGAAAGCAATTCTTTAATGTGCTACCTCTGGGGTTACTATACATTTACAGCAAATACCTGGGAATGATATTTACTACCGTGCAAAGACTATGAAATGCTATTTTGTGACTTAAGATCTTGAAATTATTTGATGCAGAAAAGACAGAAATATTTAAGAGTAGTGGGATCTACAGTCCGATGTCTTCTACAGATTGAACTTATTGTTTTACAAACATTTCTCAGCAGCAGATCTGGTGAAAGAGTTGATCTCATTGATTAAGTTAAACCACAGTGGGCAGAGCCAAGACAGTTTTCTGGCCAAGCAACTTAAGTCTGAAGCCCAGTTGAAATGGCAAGAGGTAAGAAAGGAGGAGGAGGAGGATAAGCGCTATGAATCCTACTGCTTGCTAGTAAATGAGAAAATGCAGTCTAGCAACATTAGACTGTATTTGTTAACTCGTCTGTTTGACTTCCTAAGGTTACAGCAGCTCTACTAACCTATATATATTTAAAAGAACATCTGGAATATACACTCATTTGCTTTATTTGTCTTAAGTTAGATGAGAAGATAGACACTACTCTCATATGTGTGCACTGTGCAGTACATATGCAGCTCTGCCTGAAGAACGGATGTTAATGGTTAACAATCGATCTACCACCTGGGTCTGGTGGTAGCTAGCTAGTTAGCAGTGCCACTCATCTGACATACAGCTAGTAATGCAATCTTAACCCAATTGATTGTGGAAACATTGTCCCTACCCTCCAGTGTCCCCCTAAGTTGCCCCAACGAGTAAGCGGCTTAATTCTTAGCCACAAACCCCTTTAGCTTTGTTATCACTGTTGGCACCGTTAGCAGTGTCAGCACGGCCAGTGGCACTAACATAGTTAATGATGCTAAAAGGGTCTTGCAGCTCAAAATGAAGTCCCTTACTCACCAGGGCTAGCTGGGGGGGAGACTAGAGGGGGTCGCTGTGTTTCCACAGCAATGTGTCCTGCCACCACACTGGTGTTACCAGCTGTTATCGCCGAATTGGCGGCGCTTCTAGCTAGCTCTAACCTGAACCAGTTGGTTCGCAGTGCAGAGCAGCCAGAGCTAATGTGGGCAACAGAGTGTGGGAAGTGGGCCCTACGGTTCTGCATGTTATTGTGACTGGCTGGCTGTTTGTTAGTATAGCTAACAAAAGTGAAACATAAGGCAAGACCTTTACAACACAAAACATAAAAATTTCACCACCTCTCAATGGACAGCGCTTTACAATATAGCGCTCACTGGCCTCTTGTATTTCAGAACAATTTGCTTTTTTTTCTCTTTCCTTAAAAAATAACTGTTAGTAACCCGTTAGTTACCAGATAATGGGTGTTCATCTGTGGAAAGCAAAATGAATTGAAACTGATATCCCTAGTCTAAAGCCCCCTGTTAAACACAGATTGTCGTTACATTCAGTTTTTGTTCGTTTCAACACTGCGGTGGATGTAACATGTCTATTGGTGAATTTTAGAGATGCTGTGGTGCTCATTGGCTTTGCTTTTAGCATTTTCTTCTTTACCACTTTGCTAGTTCTGTCCATCAGTGTTTGAATCAACAAATAATACAATGTCATCCTCCAGAGCAGGACCATGAACTGTAATCATAGAATATTGTATTTGTGGACTATATGGTTGTTCTGTGCAGCAGACTTTCAGGCCTCACACTCTGGCCTCACTCATCACTTTTGTGCTGTCAACACCAGGCACACAATGGCCTGTTCACACAAGTGCTGGCGCAGTAGGGAGCAGTGGCAGTGAATAGCTAAATGTCAGCATACAGGGAAAATCTGTGCCACTTTCTTTTCTCTGTTTGTCTATCTTTATCTGCCTCTCTTTCTGTCTAAGTCAGTCCCTAGCACCAAAGTTGACGGCTCACTGTACCCCCCTCATCCCCCACCCCCCTGCCAGCCCCCAGCAGCAGAAATGGGGCCTACTGTCGGCCTACTCGCTGACACACAGCAGTCCACTTCTTTTGTAACAGGTCCAGGCTCCCCGATTAGCCAAGAAGCTGACTGACAGAAATGAAACACACAGCCGGCCCAAACACTCTACATCTCCACACTTTTTTCCACAGCTGTGCAAATAAATGTAAAAGAAAACTCTCGGGAAATTTAATCTTGTAATTGTTTTGGCTTCCAAACCAACAGTCCAAAAGGGTCCCCCGTTTTTAAAAAGCCAAAGCCCTGACAGTGTTTGTGAGAATAAATGGATGTTAAGTAGGCCTGGTCTTTAAAGTCTTGCAACAGCCAACATTATGGAGTGGGAGACGGTAATTTCACTGCTGCTGTTTATGTTTGCACTTAGATGTTTGTGTGTTTTCATGTGGGACTTCAAATACATTAATGAGATGTCCTGTTGACTCGCATAAAGAAAGGTGAAAGGTCAGAGCTAAAGCTGAGGGCTGAAAACAGCAATTTGGGTTCAGTTTGTTTCGGAAATGTTGCTACAGCTGAACCGTACACATATTTTGAGCATGAACAGGTTTGCTGCCCCAGGGTTTTGCGCACTTCAGTGTCTTGCAACAAATAACCGACATTTATATGTGTTGCAATATTTGCCTCAGAAAGCCACACATGCCTGATAATGTACTGTTGTCATGTAAATACATGCAAACAGGCAGCAGCTTCTCCTCCTCAGAGGGTCTGAGTAACTATTACCCAATAAATCCCCTGTCACAACACATTAGCCTGCCAGGGCCGTTTGGTCAGGATGATTGTGGCTTATGTCAAGCTTGTTAGTGTTTAGCACTGTTAACTAGAGAGGGACTTGATATACGACCGGCAGCTCTTTGTGCACCTCTCCATACCATTCCCAGGATTCACCGTGACGGAAAGACGTGAAAGAGTGTTGATAAAGGTTGCTGCGCTTATATCTTGGTTATCTAGTGGAGATGGTGTGTCTTGGCTGCAGATTCAGAGACTGAGTTGACTGTTTGATGTTCTGTTTTTTGTTCTTAAGCCCCGTTCTTGTTATATTTTGCTAACTCACTCCCTTTGTTCTCTCCGTAGGCTGTGACAGGAAGATGCTTTGGTGACAAGGACTTCAGAGGAGGTTTGGAGAATGGGATACTGCTATGCGAGTGAGTTCTGACTATATTTTCATTTTTACATGACGGTCTCAAGTAATTAAATTGTCCAATAGTTGTCTTTTGGGCTTTTATCTTTATTGCTCTTTTTCTCTTCCTGAAACAAATGATGCTTTCTCACTGTTGTTTGAGTGACTGTGAAATATGTGTTCTTTTATTTCACTATTTTTATTTTACTTAACACATAGAGATGATATTGTGTTATATGTGACTTGAAATGGATGCAACAGTAGAGAAAGCTCCCGTCCTGAGAGGTTGAGTTCAAGGGTCAGAATCATAGTGTTTACAAAATAGTCAAGTGAGCGCTCACAATTTATTCTTGCAATTTTATTTATTAGATTTGTAGTTTTATAATTTATATAATTATGTACCTGGCCTTCCTCAGTCCTATCAGTTTGTAAGAAAGAAGAAACACTGTCAGCCTAGAATAACCACATATGCTTCAGAAGGGGAAGAACATAAGGTTTTTTCTCTCATAAGTGCACTGATTTGCGACAACACTGTGGTCCAGTGATCAGAGAGACTGCTGTCCTGTTCAATTGTCCTCCAGTGCGACACGGTGAACTCTTGCCTGCCCATTCTTAATGAGTCGGGGTGTTAAAATGAGGCTGAAAACACACACAGACACTTCTTCCACATTCCTTCCTGCCAAGTTCAGTTACACAAGCCTGATGTTTAAAACATGTTAATTGTGAAAACAGACAACACATCCAATTTAACAGTGTCCCCACTGGTTGTAGTATCAAGGAACATCTAAAGGTGGTGCTCTGGACCCTGATTTACACAACCAGGAAGTAATATTAATAGAATTTACCTCAGGAGAATGTATTTACTTTTTACCAAGAAAAGTCATCAGCGTTAACATCAGGGCCATCATAGGTATCATCAACAACACCAACAAGACATTTGAAGACATCACTGTGGGTTCTGGGAAATTGTGACAGCCATTTTTATTGGGGTTAGCATTGTCGCCTCACAGCAAGAGGGTTCCTGGTCCAGGACGAACCTTGGGGTAGGAGAGCCCCTCTGTGTGGAGTTTACATGTTCTTCCCATGTCAGCGTGGGTTTTCTGCGAGTACTCTGGCTTCCTCCCACAACCCGAAGACATGCAGGCTAGGCTCATTGGTGACTCTAAATTGCCTGTAGGTGTGAATGCTTGTCTTTCTCTATAGCCCCTTTTACACTGCCAGATTTTTGGAGAATGTTGGGCGGTTTTGCCAGCAAGCTGAGCGTTTAGACACACAGAGCCGGATTAGCTAATTGATCCGAGGTGCCCAATTTTCCGCCTCGTAGGGGTAAACATATTGGCGGAACCTTTTTGGTTTTAAAATGAACGAGGCACCCTAATGACTTATGGGAGGAGCTGTTGATGACACCGTACCTGCGACCCACTGGCGGTGGATAAACAGGAAACAGCTGATAGCAGGAATGAGCAGCTAGTACTAGTAGCAAGAGGGAAATGCAAAACCTGAAAGACACTGTAAAGATGAGCAACTGGGGAGACAAAGAATTGCGCACCCTCCTTGCCCTCGCAAATGAAGAGGCCATTTACCGTCAGATGATGGGGACGGTGAAGGACGGGCCAACTTATGAGAGAATCGCCGAAGGACTGATCAGCAGCGGCTTCCCTCCCATGTCACTGTTTACGTCACACGCTGAGCTACACGTTTTGTTGCTTGCTCACGCCCCCCATTGCCCCGAAAAAGATACATTCTATATGAACAAAAGTAGGCAGGCGGCATTTTGCTGCACTCCCCGATTTTGCTTTTATACTGCCAATGCTTAGCGAAGACTGATTGGGCTTTCCTGCAAATTTGCACAATTCCTATATAAAAAGGGCTTATGTGTTAGCCCTGTGAAAATCTGGCGACCTGTCCAGGGTTCCCCCGGTCTCTTGCCCAACAGAGTCTATTGACATACTTTAGCAGGTTATAGATTATATAGCAGGTTATATATCATTTAGTCAATTAATGCACTTAAATGGTGTCCAAGCAGCAGAGGAGAGAACACGTCGGACTTCCTGTGTACGGCTCTCACTAATTCCACAAGTGAAACACCCTCCAGCCTCTTCCTCTTTTTCCTGATGCACCAGGTGTCAGGAAGTGTGTTTGTCCCTGTACATAATCACAAGATGATATATTTATGTCACTTGTACTGTGTTTGTTTTGAGTGTGTCTGTGTTTTAAAAATCCAGGAAAGCTCTTTGATCCTTGTGGTCATTCCCACTTCCTCTTAACGCTGTAACAAGTTTGAAATGTAATAATCTTCAGTGGACACAAATGGGCCACATATTCTTCCAGAAAACTGTCAGACAAATCTGATTTTATGTTTGAATTGTTTCCATAAAAGGTGCATTGGGACTGTCGGTTTTTTTTCCTCAAACATTTTTGTAAACACAGTCATCTGTATTGATGCTCAGCAATCACACAGGGAGAAATCAGTCTTAGAAGAAGAAGATTGGTGGGGGGAAATAAAAAATAAATAAAAGAAAGCAGACTGCAAGATAATTCTCATTCCAGGCAGTCTTTCAAGGGTGGAAATATTGTCTTCACTGTTGCCATTGCCCACTCTCCCCACCTACACGTATTGTATGTAGCACTGAGAACACCCTTCTCTTGAGGTTGTTGAAAGTTATTCTGGGAAACATACAGTACAGCAGAAAGTCTCTAACTGAAGCAGAAGTAGATGAGGCAGCCTGAGGGAAGTAGAGTTCACCAAAAAGGTAAATTACAGCAGTTCATCTCCAAATACCTGCTGGAATGCCATCAGCATCACAGGACCACTGATATCTAATACTGTAAGAGTATCCAAGGGTGGGTTTTTCCTTTACAGGGCAGAATCATTAGAGTGCTTCCTCTGATGAAAACTTACACAAAAGATGAAACTGGAGACAAGTGGGAGAGAGGGAGAGAGGTGAACTCTGAAACTGGCTTGTTCATTACTGACAAGCTGTCTGATGTTGTGGGATGCTAAAAAATGTGTGTGTGTGTGTGTGTGTGTGTGTGATGAGAAATGACAGAAGCAGGACATACCTCTTCACATGTGTAGTGCACTGGAACTATTTAACAGCTCCCAGTGGGTGAATGGAGAAGCACAGATACTCCGCTCTGATTTAGGATCTGTGTCATTATAAACCTTCCAGACGCCACTGTGGGACCCTGAAAAATGTTTCTTTCTCCCTTTTTGTTCCTCCTTTTTTCTCTGAAGACACACACACAGTTTCACACACTCTTCATCTTTTTTATCGGCAGTTCTTCTACTCCGCCAGAGCTAGGTTTAAATTTTAGAAATTCACCTCATCTCGTCATGAGGATACATTTTAAAGGTATGACTCTGCTTTAAGCTTTCAAATCCAGCTTGTGATGTATTCTTCCCTGTGTGTCTTTTCTTAGGTTGCTGAGCTCTATTAAACCTGGCCTGGTGAAGAAAATTAACAGACTTCCAACACCCATAGCTGGCCTGGTAAGTCCTCAACCTGACAGCATTTCTACCAAAATGTAAGACAGTCTTAAAATCCTCATCGATCTTCTTTTCCCATGCTTTCGCTCTTGCTTTTCCTTCCTTGTCACATTGCTTTATGTCTGCATCTCATCCTCCCCCTTTCTTTTTTTATTAGCATCTGTTTCCCTCCACAGGGATGCTTTAGACAGTCTTATTCAGGGCTGTCTCATCTTAAAAACTCACTGTAACCTCTTATTTCTCTTGAATAAAGTACAAAACTTTATACATGACCTGACGTAATGGCTTCATAGGGGCTGTAATTTATGGCAGCTTTGTAACTTGAGATTAGCTTTGATACCTGTGCAGCTTTCCAAAGCAGAAAGGTGACATAAAGGTTACCAACCCTGCCATATTCCAGGTGCATCATATAAACAACATCACCATATAACTTTATTGTTGGTGTTTGTCTGTTACCAGGTGATATATAGTATGTTCTGGAGTATGAAATTCTGTCAGTATGCCAGATTCTTTTAGACTTATGTGATAAATATCCATCCAACCTTCACTGTATTGACTAAGTGGAAAGAATATCAGAAAAAAAAAGATGATACAGACATATACTGATAATCATGTGACAGACTTTACATTATACAGTACCAGGTGTTTCGTCAGGACTACATATACCTGCAGCTGAGAGGTTTCAGTTTCAGTCCTCACAGCCATGGTATCAGCAGCTAAATATGACAAGCCCCTTTTACAGAGAGTTTTCACGATACAGCTGCGACGAAGACCCTTTCTCATGCCAGCTTTGCTTTTTTCATACAGAACCAAACAATGCCGGCATAATGTGACCCTATTGTGTGATTTTTAGATCGCATGCCAGCATTTCTAAAGCAGAAGACGTGACTGAAAACACGACAGCGTCAGCGTCTAGTGTGACACATAACTTAGATGCTGGGCAGTGCTTTCTAAAGGTGACAATGGCATAACATGGCCATAACATCATTTACAGTGCCTGCTACAGGGGGGTTGATTTTGTCCTCTGCTGGGACTGTAAAATGCTCACAGTTTTCACTGTCTTCCCAGTTTGCGGACTCTTTGGCTGCTGTTCTCCGAGTTAGCTGCTAACTGCTTCTAGCTGCTTTTTAAATCTCCCGATTGTGGGTCGCATAACATGTCAGAATGTCACACTTGCTCCATCCTGACGCCAATTCGGTGCTGTTACTACCTCCACAGTCAGCTTAAAGGCGAGACAGCTCTGTCCCCCATTCTGCTATCATACATTTTATACAGGTCAGGAATGACAGCATAGAAGAGGCTACACAGAGCCCGTAACAACTCACTTTTTGTACAGCAAGACAGTTTTGCAGTGACACAAAGCATCTGTAGACTCCCTTTCTGTAAAGATCTCTTAAACAAAGCATAAAATATCTGCAGGAGCATTTCTTGTAATATCACTTTCTGTCTCTTCATTGTATTTCTTTGATTAAATGAAATTCCTTTAATTACTAAAACCATAAAATATGTTTTCGTGTGAGCAGCAAGAAATTTCTTCCAGATCCTAAAACCTGACCTGAATAATGCACGTTGTTGTCGATGTTTTTATTTAAGAATCTTAAGTTTGCTTTCCACTTTGAATGAGAACCTGTAAATTTCAGTAGACCTGAACACTGACACATTTCAGAGTCGAGTACAGTGCAGTACAGTGGAGCCCTTTCATGACAACCCAAGACCTTTATCTGGATAAAATGACCTTCCAGGACCACAACCGGCACGTAAACAGGGGCACGCTGAAAGTTGATCACACGCTGAATGTACTTTCGTCTCTCTGTCCTTCCTAACCTAGCTCCCAGTTGCATTCCTCACTGCTGTCTCAAAAAAATTTCATGTGAAAAAATATTTATTGACATTATTGACAAAATTGAAGATCAAAAATGAAACTTATCATGTAATATTTGAAATTACAAACACTATCTGCAAGGGTTCAATAGGGCTGTGTATCAACACAAATCACTGACAAGTACAGGCCACATTTGTGTGATTTAAGAAATAAATATACACCTTTCCTTCTGAAAGAAACTGACAGAAGTTGAAGTGAAGTTTGTGTTTATTAGTTCTGAGTCCTCATAAACAGTAATGACGTATAAACGAGATTAAAACATGATGATGGTATACAAATGTAATGGGAGCTGGGTATTATTTGGCTCATAGCATGACAGAACAGACCAGGAAGTCTGAGTTGGGATGAAATGGCTTTTCTTATCTCATGGCGTCACTAATGGCTGTCAATGAGCCTTCTCTGGCTTTTTACAAGGGGCGAATAATAACAGCCACATTCTTTACAAGCCTTTTTACACCGTACAATCACTGCTAGAATAACAATTGATCATCCTGTTGGAGCTTTTACACCTAAGAGCTTCTCTGCTCACTTTGTCTTGGTAATGTTTGTGATCTGTGCATAAATATATCCAGTTTCTGTTGCATCTTTGTTGTTTGTTTTATTTGCTTTTTGCATTCTTTTCTTCGTGTGGTCGTACCATCCTGCGTTCTTCACTTTCCTTTATCTGATTTTTCCCAGTTTGTAGCCTTATGGAGTCTGATCAGTTTATCTCCTCTGGCTGACTGCCATGTTTTTTCAGTGTTTTTTAAGGAGTTTCCTAGATCCATCAGGGTACAGTGCTATTATGCTCCCCAACAATATACTGTGAAAAGTATTGATTTTTTTATAAGTTGTTTAATGCAGTCTTTAGTCTAGACCTGTCAGAATAATTATGTTACTTATTTATCATACAATATATGGACATGACCTCGATCATTTTGCTGACCTCAGTATTGCTCATTGTGTGAATCTGCGTGGTTTTTTTTACCTAAGAATGTCGCCAACACTTTCGCCAAGATAATGCCAGAATAGGGTCAGCTTGTCCCGACCATTAAAGGACTTGGACAGAGTCCAAAATTAACAAAATGCAACACTTACGACGCAAGATGACATAGCATAGCTTACCAGTAGCTTGCAGCTGCACATACAGCCGTTAGCTTGCCCTCCAACAATTTCATCCTCCGTAAAATTCACCAGCAAACCTCCCTACTCTCAGGCCATCTATCTACCATAGCTGACTGTAGCACACCAGCCTTGTTATGGAGGTAATTGCAATGTTCCCGGAGTCTGTTAGTCACAAGAGGCATTGCAGTTTATTTTTGTTGGTCATGTTTTGTATGAAGTCTCAAACTGAGCAATTTTGGGATACTTTTATAAATGTACTAAAGTTATACATAATACTTGCTTGTATACAGTACAGGCCAAAAGTTTGGACACACCTTCTCATTCAATGCATTTTCTTTATTTTCATGACTATTTACATTGTAGATTCTCACTGAAGGCATCAAAACTATGAATGAACACATGTGGAGTTATGTACTTAACAAAAAAAGGTGAAATAACTGAAAACATGTTTTATATTCTAGTTTCTTCAAAATAGCCACCCTTTGCTCTGATTACTGCTTTGCACACTCTTGGCATTCTCTCGATGAGCTTCAAGCGGTAGTCACCTGAAATGGTTTCCACTTCACAGGTGTGCCTTATCAGGGTTAATTAGTGGAATTTCTTGCTTTATCAATGCGGTTGGGACCATCAGTTGTGTTGTGCAGAAGTCAGGTTAATACACAGCCGACAGCCCTATTGGACAACTGTTAAAATTCATATTATGGCAAGAACCAATCAGCTAACTAAAGAAAAACGAGTGGCCATCATCATTTTAAGAAATGAAGGTCAGTCAGTCCGGAAAATTGCAAAAACTTTAAATGTGTCCCCAAGTGGAGTCGCAAAAACCATCAAGCGCTACAACGAAACTGGCACACATGAGGACCGACCCAGGAAAGGAAGACCAAGAGTCACCTCTGCTTCTGAGGATAAGTTCATCCGAGTCACCAGCCTCAGAAATGGCAAGTTAACAGCAGCTCAGATCAGAGACCAGATGAATGCCACACAGAGTTCTAGCAGCAGACCCATCTCTAGAACAACTGTTAAGAGGAGACTGCGCCAATCAGGCCTTCATGGTCAAATAGCTGCTAGGAAACCACTGCTAAGGAGAGGCAACAAGCAGAAGAGATTTGTTTGGGCCAAGAAACACAAGGAATGGACATTAGACCAGTGGAAATCTGTGCTTTGGTCTGATGAGTCCAAATTTGAGATCTTTGGTTCCAACCGCTGTGTCTTTGTGAGACGCAGAAAAGGTGAACGGATGGATTCCACATGCCTGGTTCCCACTGTGAAGCATGGAGGAGGAGGTGTGATGGTGTGGGGGTGTTTTGCTGGTGACACTGTTGGGGATTTATTCAAAATTGAAGGCACACTGAACCAGCATGGCTACCACAGCATCCTGCAGCGACATGCCATCCCATCCGGTTTGCGTTTAGTTGGACGATCATTTATTTTTCAACAGGACAATGACCCCAAACACACCTCCAGGCTGTGTAAGGGCTATTTGACCAAGAAGGAGAGTGATGGAGTGCTGCGGCAGATGACCTGGCCTCCGCAGTCACCGGACCTGAACCCAGTCGAGATGGTTTGGGGTGAGCTGGACCGCAGAGTGAAGGCAAAGGGGCCAACAAGTGCTAAACACCTCTGGGAACTCCTTCAAGACTGTTGGAAAACCATTTCAGGTGACTACCTCTTGAAGCTCATGGAGAGAATGCCAAGAGTGTGCAAAGCAGTAATCAGAGCAAAGGGTGGCTATTTTGAAGAAACTAGAATATAAAACATGTTTTCAGTTATTTCACCTTTTTTTGTTAAGTACATAACTCCACGTGTTCATTCATAGTTTTGATGCCTTCAGTGAGAATCTACAATGTAAATAGTCATGAAAATAAAGAAAATGCATTGAATGAGAAGGTGTGTCCAAACTTTTGGCCTGTACTGTATATTAACAGGTGTCAACTAATTTTTTAAAAAAATATGTTAAATATTTTTTTAAATTTAAATTCCAGTGTCCAAGTATTCTTAAAAATTAAAAGTTCATTGC